CGAAGGAACCATTGGAAAGCATGATCCAGGGGTTTGCATTGCTGAGGGAAGCAGTAGGAATCGAAAACCAAAGCTGGAAACCAGGCATATGGCTCCTCGTTGACATGCCTAGAGACGGATGGTAGAGTTTTGAGACGGAAAGACGGAGAGTTTTGCATTTTATTCGATTCTGAGACCGAAGTCATGGGTGTGCCGCAGCATTGATAAATATCCACAGTCTCAGAGTGTGTCTGGCTTCGATCAATGGAGTATCTCCAACGCATTGGTGGAAGCTGTTGGAATGGACCGCTCATGATTGCACGGCGTCTGGCTCAATTAGGTTAGCTTTTCACGCCGTCTACATAAATGATAGCTATGACCACCTGTTCCATCCGACACGCACTGCTCGGCCCGCGCAGTACAAGGCGTCCTGGTTAAATTGTACGCGAATTGAAACTGAGACGTGAACGGGTCTGGAAATATCAACAAAGTACATCCACCTAAAAGAAAACCAGGCATAGAAAAACTTCTTCCTCGGTACTTAATGACGGAAGGATACCAGATCAAGCATGATATCCTGTATGCATGAGCATAATTTGAAGGTGATGAATATAAAATTATGATTATCAAAATAAATCAGCAAAATATCTTCGGGTTGCGATACGGGATATCGAAGACTGGTAAGTATGCTTCCCTTGCCTTACAGAACGCCGAAAGTGTCACGCTTCACCAATACAAGCGTTTGCCCACTGTTTCAGCTCATTCGGATCACGAACAAGGTGGCATGGTACGTGAGAAGCCTTCCAAGCAGGCAGTGGCAGACAACACCGTCATTTGAAATTTACTAGGCGAGAAAACATGGGCAGGTTGAGTAGGCGCATACCTACAGTGCCACCTGGAATGCCTCGACGTCCACATGTTACCGAGCATGGTTTTCGGTTAATCATGATAAGTAATTTTACAGATCTTCTCCCGAGTAGCTGCAACCAACGGCGTCCTACGCGGGATCAGGATCCATTGTCTCGGTTTACGTGACCGTTGCAACCTTAAAATCTACAGAACGTCAGCTCTGGCCCCGCTCAGGTGAGGCGGCTCCGGAGCGAAACAAATGCATGTGTAAGCGGGAGCTATTCAGGCTCGTACCAAATCCAGTAGGACGGCAAGCTCACGGTGATGGTATCATGAACGTTAAGCTGGCGTGGTAAAAGTATGGGATACCTTTTCGCATCAAAGGTGATCACTACGCATTTAAGACCTCGGGGGTCAGCTCTACGCTGTTTTCAGTGTCAGAGCTCCTTACAGCCCTCTTGAACGATAACGGTTGTAAATTTAAAGAGTCACAGAAACGTATCTGCCACATCCTCTTAAGGCTCGCAGTTGCGGCAATGTATGGAATACAACCAGAGATAAGGAGTGATGAACATATGAGATGGGATCTTAATCAACCTACGTGTTCCAGCGTAGACTGACAATGCCTGTTCCGGTTTGTTTTGTTTGGAGTGGCTGTGTCTGGGAAATGACACTTGATGTAATTGTTGCCGATTGCTTTGTAAGTTGTAAGGAATATCGGTCATGAACAGCAACACTATCGAAAACTCGATCTCTCGTCGCACTTGCAGTCACGTAGCTCGTGCACCTGACGCATACGGCTTGACTATGCCAACTCGTGATGTCACACATCGACGAAGTCAAAACAATTCTGTACCGGTACCGATTGGGGATCCCGTCAGTGCAGTGGTGAACGCGTCCGCGTCAACCGCTGCGCGTCTGGGAAACCAGAGGCATGGGGTTCAATTCCCCACGGTGCCTGCCGCTCCTGCCAGCGTGAGTCCAAAACGTACTCCTAGAACGCTTAACAGTACGTTAAAGGGAGTGTTCCACAGTTATGTGGGGTTTTGTTAAAGGGAGTGTTCCACAGTTGTGGGGTTTTGTTAAAGGGAATGTTCCACAGCTGTGTGGGGTTTTAAATTGAAATATCCATTTTGAAGATCATTCGGTACATTTCACAGTCCTACCATCGTTAAGACCTATACCCATCTAAGCCTCTGAGCCACGCGCCCGCAAACATGCGCAGACTATTTCAGGGAAATTATTTTAAGGTCACTCAGGCATACATCAGCCATAACAACGCTGCCCCAATCCTGCTATTCCATTAACCATCTGGCGATCAAGGCCAAAAACAGAATTGTTGAGCCGTTGAAATCTGGTGTACGTGAGCACAATTTCAAGAAATAACGACAGTCAATTGGCTCCCATTCAGTGTTGTGCAATATACGGTCACGTAATGAAACGATGGTATATTGAAGAGCATATATAATGAACACAAAAATTGTGTCGTCTAGAATGGCTTTTCCACTTAAAAATATATTTCTCGTTTTCTGGGTGAGCTTATTTCATCATATCTGATGTTCGCTTCAATGTCCTTGAATGTGGGGTATTGCCTTTAACAGGTACAAACTTGGACTATCAGTCTAAAAATATATTTATGTGGTTGTACTTGAATTCAAATACGATTCCTCAACTATAAAAATGTGTCGATCACTTCCCCAAAAATCATCAAGAGCGCCGCCTGTAAAATCAGTGCAGGTAAGTTCTAATTCGCATCCTAAAAACCAAGAATGGGCAAAACCATAGGTTACTGATAAAGCACCCTCCGTTGAGGCTTTCAGTGACAGCTCCACAAGATGCAAGTATTGTGAGTGATTCCACTCAAACGAGTAGTGTGCGCTTTTTCGGAAACAAAAAGACTACAGGGCTTTAAGTTTTTCCCCTTTGATAGCCATTGGGTATTAGAAGCCTTAGTCTTTGAATGCCTCTGTGAAAAAATATTACTCCATATCTATAAATCATGCATCTTCACAGCACGTGCTTACCCACAGACAGGGATTACAAAATGCAAATTATTTCTGTGTAGCTCAAAACGAGCACCATGACATGCATACTGCTCCGAAACTACGTATCTGCGCTACAGGGCGACATGGGCTTGCAAGAGAATGGTGTGCACGATACGAAGTTTTGTACACAACAAAACATAAGTTAAATGGATTAAATGCGCAGATAAAGAAAGAGACAAACACCATTGATTTATAGTGGTCCATCGAGCATGGCTTATACGAATGTGTTGGAAAACAGTTAAATTATATATTATTAAAAGGGCTTTCGATAATAACCAGTCATTCGACTTACTGGTATCTCGACGTCGTAAATGCTTGTCGCGACATTTCCTGCGTTCCAGTGGCATGATAATAGCATTGTTAATCACGCAGAAGTATTCATAAGCCGCATTTACATTGCGTGCATCCTAATCGTATTACCTGGTAGCCTCATTGCCACTCCAAAGAGCCTTACATTTTTTCTGGATATTGCGTCAACTAAAATGCAAATGAACGATGCGTATCACGCAAAAGTTGTTTAATCTATTGCTGTGGTGTACACAGTGTACCACTGTGGTTGTAGTTCTGCTTCGATTGGGGTGACCTCATAGCCTAACGCAATCTAACAGGAGAACTTGAGGACACTAGAAACCCGCTTATCCGCCGTGTTGTGGATTAATGTGTTCAGAATATGTGGTGGGCGACCATGAGATCTGCTCACAATGCTGTTCATCTTCTCGGTATTCTGGTCTGGGGGTTCAGGCAATGATGCCATATTGCTGCGGTAAGTTGTGTACATGTGGTGCGATCAGCACTCCATTGCATACACAAACTCACTTGAGTTGTTGCGTAGATTTACGAATGTGAGTAGAATCTTTACTCGTCTGATTGCACCACAGATAAATCAAAAATGCTTCCAGCAGTGTATGTACGCAAACGTTTTACGGCAACGGTGTCAGTCTGGGTCGCAGTGCACCAGCGAAGCCTCAAAATTGTTCGCCTTTCGTTGGCGATAAGTTATGAAGTGCGTCACAGCTGTAACAGGGTTTATTAAAATACCACAAAAGTCCATGGAGGTCGGCGTTAGCAATGTTGACTGCATCGTCAGTTTAGCGCGTCACGTATTTTGTTATGGTTTGCATGTTCTGGCGTTCTCACAAACATCATGCAAGATGTTAACCTTTTTATGGTGCGGTGTTCAGATGATTGAAAGATGAAGCCTTAGGGAAGTTGATATCATGTGGCCGGTCCAAAGGAGGTATAGTGGCTTTCGTCCTGGAATCACTCTGGGGTAGCCTATGCCTCGAACATTCCGGTAAGTTCGCGGACGGCTGCTAAAATAGCAGCTTTAGTCTTAAAGGCTAAAACGCACTTGCAATATTGCCAGTATCATTATTTTGCTTGCATTACAAGAATGTACGAAGGGGTGCTTGTCGCCAGCCTTGTGAGTGTTTTGCGTTGTACTTGCTAGCCCCCAGCTAATGCAGGAATTCAATTCCTGCATTAGTTATGGGTGGGTTTCAGATGTGTATGAACATGGCAATATCACCAAAGGATTTTGCTGCACAATTTAGTTGGACAACACATTGGTCTTGACATCGCAGGCGTCGATTTCGGATCAGCCCAGATACAGTTAATGGCATGGGAAGAGGATAGGTGCGTTGTTCGCCCACGACACTAGCCGCAACATGACCTTGACTCTGCGGTTGCAACTATCATCAACCTTCAGGTGTCTGGAATAAGATACTATCATCTAAGCAAAGCTTCATAAACAGTGTTTGTAATCTTCAGTAAAGGCCGCTGTAAGTACCTTACATCGATTGAGGCAATTCACAGTTAAGTACTTTTAGTACCGCATTAAGAAGGTCGTTGAGTTCTTAGTCTATAGAATCATCATGAAAATATTCTGCATTCATCGTCACCTTTACCCTTTACCTTCACCTTCACCTTCAATATTCTACCTTTGCCTTCTTCCACTTTCAGTTTGTGTTTGCACAGATAACTGGCTACGATAATTTTTACATAATTATTGGTGACGGCCATGGGCCTCACCAGCTGACCGCAGGCCGGACCGTGGCTAGAAGGTACAGTTCTTGGTGACGGCCATGGGCCCCACCAGTTGACCGTATACCGGACTGTGGTGAGAAGGTACAGTTCTTGGTGACGGCCATGGGCCCCACCAGCTGACCGTATACCGGACGGTGGTGAGAAGGTACAGTTCTTGGTGACAGCCATGGGCCCCACCAGTTGACCGTATACCGGACGGTAGTGAGAAGGTACAGTTCTTGGTGACGGCCATGGGCCCCACCAATTGACCGTATACCGGACGGTGGTGAGAAGAGTGGTCCCAGTGATGCTGTTGACCTTTAGCAGCGCAGTCTGCTGGGGCGGTCCTAAAGAAGTAAAGGGTCGCTGCGCTGAGAAAGCGGAGCTGCCGGATGTTGTTGGTATGCTAAGTTGTTTTAATTTGCTAGCATGTGAATCTTTTGCAATCCAACAGGACGGTAATGTTATTCCCGTTTTGTGTTGTATTCGAGGTGATTTTGCGTCTGCAGTGAGTATGGCGTTATGGATGCGGATTGCAGAGGCCGATTGGAGAACGCAGAATAGAGAACGATTGCAGTGAAGTTATTCCGATTGTGGCTCACTGAAATGCTGCATATAAGGTTTGTTCCATCGAAAATATGCTTGTATCGTTTGTACATCTTTATCTTGATCTTATCTTGATGTACATCTTATTATGCTTGATTTCCTGGAGCTTTCCGTTGCACTGTGAGTAGCAATGTTTTGATGCATCACAACTTTCAATTATTTCAAGGATCTGAAGGATCGTTCGTTCGTTTCAACTCAGTGTCACTACTGCATGTTTAAATGAGGTCCACTGCTTCCAGATTCTGCTCTGAGAAAGATATGAGCCCTTTGTGACGCCATGGTACCTTAACCTGAGTTTGTGTGTCAGCCTTGTTTATTGAAGGAATAAACCCAATAATTTGATTCATAAATGTAATTTGAAATATGTTTTGCTTTGCTCTCAAAACATTATGTTGCAAGTCTCTTGATTTAGAAACCAGTAAAGTCACTATCATCGTTGTACATTTCACTGCCGTCAGAGTAACGCTGTTTGTCTTAAAATGCGCCATTACGGCACTGAGCAATGCCAATCATCTGGCTGGTGTCCCGGCGTGTGTTAACTGGAGGGACTGTCAACTGTTTGGAACTGGTAAATGTAGGTTAATTTGAAAGTATCTTTCGGTGGGTGAATAGTGTGAAAGTGAGAAGTGTGAATAGAACCTGGCTGCATACCTCGGTGGGGCATGGGGATAACGCGTACCCAATTTTGCATGGCAGCCCGCCTAGCAATATCTGTATCTGTACAGGGGACATTGAACTGAACAAATCTAGGTTCTGGACTTTTGCTCTTCACATGCAGTGTGTGTGTGCAGTGTAGTTTTTCTCGAATTACGGTGAACTGAGCATTGTGTAAGGATGTTCACTTAATTGCAATTTGCACGGCTGAATTTTAACATCAGGCCCTAGTATGAGACAGCATCCTTGTGGATTTATTTATGTTATCTTTTAAAGACACTATAAATTGGCCAGATGTCGCAATATTCCGTTGGACAGCGTTTGAGCAAAATTGCATTTATGATTTGGTATATGTACTGTTTTGGAGATAAACTCGACATATCAAGGTGAAGTGTTTGATGTCCAGTGATATTTCTAATTTCAGACCACTTGCATGACAGACGGTGCCACGAGTGAAGTAAGGAAGTGGTGCTTTTGGAACAAGATTCAGGCCGGCTGATGCATTTCACTGAAATATTTTTCATGCTTGACCAATTAGGAAAAGCTGATATCAGAAATCTAGAGCTTTTGCAAATCGCATTACCTTATAACATATGTTTTATATGCTCAACTGTGCATATTTGATTATTGTCATGAAATATTCCCTGATTGGTTAACTGAAGATGCCAGTTTCAACAGTGTTCTTATGTTCAAGCCTTGGAAAACTTCTGGGTGTATGCCAAGAGGTCTAAATTTGGTGATGGATCGCATGTCTTATATGAATGCAGTGTTACATACATACAGTACAGCATACAATTCAGTACAACACACAATACAGTACAACATACAATATGAATGCAGTATTGGAGCATTGTGTACATTAGGTAAGGAAGGGGGTCTGCCACACTCGCGTTTCCAGTGGTATGAATGTATGGAAATATTTGAAACCATTTCTCTTTTTGGTATACAGAAAGGTTCATTGGCTGATCGGAAAGAAGTATAGTTTATTCCCCAAAAGGTAGATAGAATGCGCTTGAGTACAAAAATAAACAAGCTGCACATTTAAGACCTGGCTTCTTTTTTTGGCTACAAATAATTTTTAGGAGACAGTTCAGGCCATTTGTATTTCGTTGGGGACAGGCGTAGGCTTTTTTAACCCCAGCAGTAAATAGATGTGTTTCATTGAGGCCTTACACGCTAATGAGACTTTGTGGAGACGTCTACCTCCCGCACTGGCAGAGAGGGTGTGCACCGCGGGGTAAATAGCACACCACACAGTAAATAATGTACGCAAACGCAATAACTTGTACACGATGTCTGAATCGTGATGTCACTCAACTGGCATGTCATGATACGAATATTGAACTATTAATGGTGGTGGCTGAAAGCAGTGAAGTTACTGAAATTCGTACATTTCTGATACGATGTGCTTTCTTGCAGAAGAACATACCAACGCCAAGCTCGCCGGAATATGTGCGCCGTTTTATGTGACTGACGCAAAAGTAATCGAATTTTGTGTTGAACTGAACCACCAGAACCATCCAACACACCAGAACAACCAACCATTTCATTCCATAAAGGCACTCCACTGAAGGAGCGAGAACACCTTATTTTTCATGAGAGCGAGGAGATGATGGTTGTTTTGTTTTCGTCCAGTCACCATAGCTGCGTGTCATCGCCGACCGGTACCAAAGTCACGTGGTCCGGATCGCACTCGCTCAAACAGCCGGGGAACAGTGTATACGACACACAGCTGGGGGATTCTCCACACAACATGATTGCGTTCTGTCTCAATTCAATTTTGGGATGAGTGCCATCGACATAACCCAAATGAACTTGCTGTAAAGATTTAACGCCTGTCGATTGCACGCAGGACCCTGTCGGTAACATGGGGAGCCGTTTCCGTAAATGTTGCTCGCAGTAGATTTCGAGGTCGTGTCCTCGAAAGTAGTTGATATGTTTTGAGATGCTCAGTGACCTTTTTCTCTACAAAATTTTCTTAATTGGAGGTTGAGTTAAAAAAAACGATGAGCATCTTCTGGGTTAGCTGATGCAGCAGGTCATCCAAGGGTTAACACTTGCGCTATTCAGCGTCGTTTGTCTGGTTGTCACGTTGTGCCCAACTAATGAGACAGCACGAAGAGCACCATACGCACAAAGCTTGACTCGTATAAACTGTCATAGGTAGTGTGCCACAGGTAACGTGATAGATAAAATGTACCGTGGCAGGCGCTGCGACGACCTCTTAGCAGGTTAAACGCCAACAGAG